GCACAGGGCCACCAGCCCCAGCTTGAAGGCCAGCTTGGCGATAGGCAGTCTGCAGAGGGAGGGGGTAATGCAGGAGGGGACGGGTTGGCCCCATCCCCAGTGACCCCTGGACGGGCTCCCACCCCAGAACCTCCAAATAACCTCCGGGAAACCCCATTTCCCCATCAACTCACGTCCACTCCCAGCCCCGCTGCTTCAGGATGCTCTCCAGGTTGGTGCTGACTCCAGCCAGCGCTGCAGGGAGTGACCCCCATGAGTGGGGTGCCCCCAGCCCCGCACTGCCTGCCCGCCTCTCCCCGGCCCCCCTCACCCACCGGGCTCCAGGCCAAACTCCAGGTAGTCCTCACGGATGACCAGGGCCACCATGGCGAGGAGGAGGAAGAAGAAGGCAAAGGTGAGGCAGACGGAGCGCTCGCCCCCCTCCTCTGAGCGGAAGTAATGGCGCATCACCATGAAGAAGACCTTGCTGCGCGTGAGGGGAGGATGTCAAGGAAACCAGGAGCTTCAGGACCAACACCAGCAGGACCCCCCTGCTCATTAGCGCATCATAGAGCATCCGCATCGTTAGGCCGGTGCCACCTTCCCTGCGGGAAGGTTCTCATTGGGCACCTTTACAGCTCCTCACTGCGTGCTTTGTAAATCCATACACTGAAGTTTTCCATCTCAACCGGCTTTCAATGGGGAAAAGCCGAGGCTGGCGAGTTCCCTCTCCTGCCACCAGCAGCCTGGAGCTGGTGGGTGGTGACAAACACACCCCAAAAGTCACAACAAGGATACATGGAGAAGACAACCGTCAGCAGGGACCAGAGCACCCCGATGTTCATCTCCTTCTGGGGGTCCACCAGGCAGTAGTAGCCCTCGGTGAAGGCGTACACGGCGGTGGAGTACACAGCAAAGTCCACAAACCACTGGTAGTCCAGGAAATAACGCAGCACTGTGAGCAGAGGGACACGTCACCGTGCTGCGGGGACCCGCAGCGGGTCCCGTGCCCAGGGCAATGCAGGGGGAGCAGTGGGGGCATGGGGGGGTTACCAAGAGCATCCACAGCAGTGATGGGGCTGGTGTCCAGGCGGAGGTCGATGTCCCGGGGCACGGAGAGGGGTTTGTCCTCCATCACGCCGTTCATCCTCCTGCAAGGGAAACCCAGGCCACCAAGGAGCTGGCTTGTCCCTTGTGTCCCACCGTGCCGAAAGCCTGCTGTGCACTGGCACATCCCCAGCTCGGGGCTCCTTGTCACCAGCCCCAACCCCACAAGAGGCTGTCGCTGCCCGGGGACCCCCCCAGCACGGGGGTGACTTCCATCGCCACCACAACTGATGGGAGTTGTTGTGAGCCCCTGTGCCCGGCAGAGCCGGCAGCTGCACTGACCTGTCCCGCTTGGCCTTGGGGCGCTGCTTCCCTGCCAGGGCGCAGAGCTCCTCATCCGAGGGGTGCTTGTACCGGTGCAGACTGGAAGGGAACAACGGGAGTCAGCGGGGTCCCCGGCTGAGGAGCAGGGAGGGATGGACGGGACGGGCGCGCCACGCACCTGCCGCTGCAGAGCAGCCAGCGAGCGAAGGACCAGTGCGGGGCCATCTTCTGCATGAGGCTGGCGGCCAGCAGGGTCACCACCACCTGCACCCCCATCACCGCCTGCCCGGGCACACCCGCACCGCTTGACCCGGCGCTGGGCCCCCCCACGGGTCCGCCTCCCCCAGCGCCGGTCCCTGCCTCGGGACAGCCCCGGGCGCGCCCCCCCCGGCCCCGCTCTCACCATGCCTGGGTCAGCGCAAAGGCGGCCGCAGGAAGCCTGCCCGCCGCCGCCTCCGCCCCCCGCCGGCCAATCGGCGGCCGCTCTCCCTCTGATTGACAGCTGATAGACCAATGGAAAGGCAGAACCGGAGGGAGGGCGGGCACTCCGCGGAGCCCGGTTCCGCCGGCGCTGCCTCCTGGGAGCTGTGGTCCCCGCAGGGCCCCGGGACCGCGGGTTCGAGTCCCGGCTGCGCTGCCCCAGCGGGGCCTCCCCGCCGGGTGTTGTCATAAATCATATCCGTGCATCGTACACACGGTATCGTGTACAAAGTACGGTCTAAACGCCCTGTGCGCCTCCAAACCCGCTGCGTCAGCCTCCTCCTTAGTTGGGCAGGGGAGACAAAATACAAGGCTCGGCTCCCGGGTCTAGCTAAGGGCACTCAGCAGTCACCGTCATGGGGAAACCAGACTCTGCTCGGGGAAATCAGTTTAATTTACAGAGGAGGATAATGAGAAACAAAAGCAAATCTTAAGACACCTTCTCCTCATCCTTCCCTCCTTCCCTGGCTCAACTTCGCTCCCAAAATCTCCACTGCCAGCTATGCAGAGGGACAGGGAGTGGGGTTTGCGATCAATTCATCACACGCTGGCTCTGCTGCTCCTTCCTCCTCAGGGGAAGGCTCCTCACACTCCTCTGCTCCCGTCCACAGGGCTGCTTCTCTCACATGTTCTCACTTTCATTTTCCACTGCAGGTTTTCTTCCCTCATCTTAACTCTTATCCCAGAGGCGCTGCCACCACCACTGTTAGGCTTGGCCAGTGACGGGTACGTCTTGGAGCTGGCTGCACTGGCCCTATCATAAGCCACCCCTGTAGCTCCCCGCTGCCACAACCTTAATACAACCCCTCCGTGTAGATGTGCACACACGTGGGGTTGGTTTGCATCTGAAGGGCCCTATGGGGCTGGGGCTCTATGGCACACATCCCTGCACACAGCGCCCGGGCATTGCATCTAGGGGCAAAGGAGAGCACAGGGGTTTGGGTGTCAGCAGCTCGATCCCTGTGGCCTCTCCATCCTCCTCTACCCTGGGCCCAGGACTGGCTGAACCAGGCCCATCCTCTTGCATGTTGCCATGGGGCAGGCGGTAGCCATCTCTCTTGTCATGTCCTTTTGCCCACATCTTCTTTGTGAGATTAACCAGCTTCTCTCCTACTTGTATCCCCCCGTTGATGCATCTCCCTGCGAGCACTGGAGGAGCTGGAGATGGACCAGGTCAGGGCAGAGGCCACTGGGTGCAGCTCATCCTGACACCCACATCACTTCGGGGGAGGGGGTGCAGGCATTTTGGCTGAGCTCAGGGCTACTTAGGGCTGTGGCAGCCCTGTGAGCAGCTCACACCGATGGGGGGCTCTGCGGGTGCTGGTGGGGGCCCCGGTCCAGGCAGGGTGCTGGTGGCCCCGAGGGGTTGCCATGGATATCCATCTCCCAGGTGACGGGATGCGCTTCCCACTAGATGTCGCTTCCGCCCGTGCCCCGAGCATTCCCCTGAGTTGGGGTACCCAGACTTGGGGTACCACGTCCCTTCCGCTGCCAGGCGCCCCCAGTGCAGCCTGGGCAAGCACCCCCCATGGTGCCCCTCATGCCAACTCCAGCCAGGAGCCAAACGGGGGTTGAACTCAGGCTGTGATGCTGAAAAACCCCTGCAGTTCCCTGAGAGCTTCCCAGTCCTGGCTGCCGAGTGCCCTCAGCTCCTTGCCAAGCCGGGATCAGGGAAGCAGCCCTCTCCATCACCTCCACTGCCTGTATCCTGCCCCCCCCCCCCCCCCCCCGGACCCTCAGACCCCCCCCCCCCCCAGTCCTTGCTGTGGGTCTGCCTGAACCAGTGCCTCTGCCTCTCTGGAACGAATGCAGGGCCCCAGGATCCTGGCAGCCCCCATGGCGTCGGCTTTCAGACACAAAACAAGGAGGGAAAGGTGGAAGATGGATGCTCGGAGCACCCCCAGCCCGGCCGCCCTCCCCCGGGACACAAAAGCCCCTTTGAGGACTGATTTTACACCGCTCCTGCCGCGATGCCCCGAATTAGCATCAGCAAAGGGAGCTGCCGCGACGGCGTTGTCGGTGCTGCAGGAAGGCTGTGCAGTGAACAGGGACCCCGGTCCCACACCCGGCGAGGGGGTGCCAGGCCCAGCACAGCCCCCACGTGCACCAGAGGGGATGTTTCCTCGAAGGACCGGGGCTTGGCATCCGCGTGGCACCCACCAAGCTGGAACAACCATGATCCCGCCATTCCCGCAGCCAGGGCACCTCCGGAGGACCACGGCCAAGGATGCTCTTGGGGCCTTGCCACCTCCTGGGCGCTGCTGGAGGCAGCTGCATGCCAGGAGCCGGCCTGTGCCCATTCCCCCCCTATGAGTTTCCCATTCCGCACAAAGGCGCCGGGCATTGTCCGGGCTGCATCGCATTACCCAGGGCTCCCGGAGAAATCACTTGTATTTCATGCTCCATTGAGCAGCTGCCTGTATATATTTTCTGTGTTGCACTTTTAGCATGACAAAAGGAGAGGGCCTGTGAACTCCTTGCTCTTCAGACCTCTCCGACACATCCCCTGAGCGGAGCCCCCCTCAGTTAGCATAACAAACTGCCACGCTCCCTCCAAAACGTGCTCCGGCTCCTTCCCAGCCTTTTCCCGCCGGGAATTTAATGTAGGGCTCAATATTTGGGTGTCTGGGCCGGTGGCGGGCGGGCGAGCACGTGCAGGGGGTTCGGAGCAGGGCTTTGGTGAGGTCCCTCCCATGCACCCATGGCCCCAGCCCCACGGCACCCACACTGTGTTTGACTGGTGTCTGCTTCCCCAGGATCACCTTTGTGCCTCCCGGGTCCGTGTTTTTCCCACCCTATCCCACCCTTAACCCCCCCCCCCCCCCCCAGGAGCCTCATGGACCAGCACAGTGGGGCTGGACCCAGTCCTCAGGCGTGGGGTGGGAATGAGGAGAGGCAGGAGCGAGGGTAAGGTGAGAGGTGCCTGTTCCCACACTGGCCAAACCCCAGCTCCTGCCTCCCCCCAGCCCAACAGGGGCAGGACATGGTCCCCTCCAGGGCTGGGACCCCCGGGGCACCCCTCGCCTCCTGCCGCAGGGAAGGAGAGGGCTGGTGAGACACGAGCAGGAAGGAAACAGCCCCAGACACCGGGGTCTCGCAGGGATTTGGGGGGTCCTGAAAGGAAAAGGGTGAGGCTGTGCTCAAACACCAGCAGCACGAGGGAGACCAGGCCGGGGGCTTGCAACACCTTTAATGCACAGGAGCTTTTCGTCCTTTCCTTGGGCTGCAGACCTCATCCTCCCCATGCCTTGGGCTTGGCGGCAGCAGCTCTGTGTCCTTCCGGCTTCCTGGGGTGTCATCCTGTGGTCCATGCCCCCCGTTTGGCAGTGGGGCAGGGGACCCGCTGGGCACACCTGGCTCCAGCCTTGGGGCTGGTTATATGGGAAAGGAGGGAGCCAACCCTTACCCTGGGCATGGGAAGGGCACTGCATGGATCCTGCCCATGCTTCCAACAGAGCCTTGGCCTTTCTGCAGCCTCTCCGAGTCACCCAGACCCCACAGCATCCACTCACAGCACCTGTTAATGGGAGAAACTGGGGTGAGCCCAGTCCCGGCAGCTGGGAGATGGCCACATCATCCTCGTGCCAGCTCCTGGTCCCGTGGGGTCCCCACATCCCACCCCATTCCCATAGGATGCCTGAACCCATCCTCACCAAGAGCCACGCTTTGTGCCAGGTCTCCTGCTGACCCTCATGGGTCGCTGCTCTTCACTCATGTCCTTGCTGCTGGTGGTTGCTTTTGGGGGTCCCGGTGCCCCATCTGTGGGGTGCCTGCGGATGGACACAGGTGTTGTTAGCTGTGCCTGCATGGGGCTACCACAGTGCATCAGAGCATCACCCCTTCCCTCATCCTAGCCTCCTCCTGCATTTTCCACACCTCCCCATGGCTTCACCCCCCACACTCACACGCCTGAGCCTTTCCCTTATGGAGCTTTGCAGGGCCTGAGCCCAAATTCTCTCATTAATTGCCCAGCCAGGGCATCCTTGTGTTCTCCTTTCAGGTTCAGCCTTCGCCGTTGCTTTATGGGGTGCTAAAGCTGTGCTGACAAGTGCTGCATGGCATAAATCCCATCAAAGTGCCTGCTCCTGCTGCTCACCCAGCACCGATTCCCTGCAGCGGCTCCATCAGCTCTGGGTTCAGGTCCAGCTCCTGCTATGGCCTGGTTTTGCCAGGTCCTGGCTGGGCTCTTCCTCAGGGATGCTGCTGGAGGGGTCCCCTGCATGGACAGGCTCTCTGTAAACCCAGCCTTTCCCACCACAAACCACATCGAACCCTTTCCCTGGATCTCCCACCCCTTTTCCCTGCACTGACAATACCACATCTGTGCCACATCCCAAAGGAATGGGAAGGGCTTGATCCTACTGCTGCACCCAGTGTACATTTCATAAACTATGGTGTGTTTTGGGCCAGGAAAACCAGGATTTCTCACTCATCAAAATGCTCTGCTCTCTTTTCCCTCATGAACTGACCAAGGCCTGTGGTTTACGGGGCAAAAAGCATCCTGTTCAGATGCTCATCCCGACCTTTGCCAAGCCGCAGCAGGAGCCACTGGTGTCTTCCCCCTTCTCCAACATGGGGGAAGACCACGAGTGACCATGGGCAATGTGTGGGCTCAGCCCTGCTGAGGAGGAATAACCCCCATGAGATGTGGCTGTAAGGGAGGAATCCCTTTCCATACATTTCCATAGGGATTCATCTGACCCCTTCTCCAGCAGCGTGGTGGAGGCAAACGCCTGTGTGCACAGGAGAAAAGCTGAGCCTGGTTTGGGGGAGCTGGGGAGAGGAGGAGGATGGGGGGCACCATCCTCTCCCCACAGCCCCATCCGCCCTCGCTGCCCTTCATCCCATCATCTCCAGCTTCAGGAAGGTTTTGGGCCCCTCATTTCAGGTGCTCGCTGCCAGAGATGCTGATCCCGAGCAGGAGATGCTTCTGAATGCCTGACCCGAGTCCTTCTGCACCAAACCCCACAGGATCTCAGGCCGGGTTGGGCTGGAAGGGACCTTAAAGAGCTGCAGTTTGGTTTTCAGCGCTCCTCTGGGCACAAAACAAGACCAGGATGAGGAGGGATATTCTGGGGGCTTCTCCATCCACAGGGATGGGCACCGGCATGGGGTGGGCAGGAGTATGGGAATGCCACCGGCAGCACTGCAGCGAGCGCTCCCACACCGCTCAGTAACTCATCCCACCGACCCCCGCGGGCTCTGCTCACCCGCAGCCATCCCCTCTCCTCCAAACAGGGATATCCAGGGCTGGGGTATGCTCCATGTGGAGCAGCCACATGGTCCGGATGCTCGGAAATCCCAGCTACAAGAATGCCACGATGGTTTTCAGCCCTCCCTAGGACCGCTGGGGCAGGGGACACCCTCTCAGTGAGGAGAAACAATCCCCCCCCCCCCATTAAACAAGGGCAAAAGCATCTAAATAAGAGATGCAAGTTTTCTTCCATTCTGCTTTAGGATTTGGGATTCAAGGTGTGAGATGGATTCCAGTGAGCAGGATAAATAAATCAGGGCTGGTGAGCACTTGAAAACAAGCAGAAATAGGCTATTCTGGGCTGTCAAAGTGGGGAGGTTTTAAGGCTCCTTCAAGGCAAGGATTTGCTCCCACTGGAGCAGTTGCCTTCCTCCTCCCAGGGAGATGGAAGGGGGCAACCCCGGCAGTGCCAGGTCTGCCAGGCTCTCCCATCCCCAGAAAGGCTGATCTGGGACTTTAGGGTGGAAAACAGGGACCCTGGGTGATTCCTGCAGGGAATTTCCCTTTGGAAGGTCTGTCCCAGGAACCTGCTGTCGCTCCCAAGTGGATGGCACCCTCCCACTGAGGATGGAGATAGAAGAATTAAGCCCATTTCTTTGAAAATGCCTACCAAAGCACAGAACATCACTGGGAATTTGGGGGGAAACTAAAAAAAATACACCATTTCCATCTGGATTTTCTGCAGGAATCCGAATTTTTAAGGGACTCGCGTGTCCCTTTGGGAACGTGAGGCTGCATGATGCCAGCCCCCAGTAATTCGGGCTCTAAAGCATTCCCCCCTCTATCCAGTTTGGAGCTGAAGCACCCACCAGCACCCAGTGCTGTGCCAGTAACCTGCATCTCCTTTGCTGGCGTTCCTTAGGGCTTGGAGATGCAGGGAAGCAAGGAAAGGCTCCTTGGTGTAATAGGGTAAGCCTGGGCTGCCCTGCAGCTGGGCTCTGCCTTTACATCCAGGAGCTCCAAGAGCCGGGGTTATAGGGGACGGAGATTGGGTTTTGGGGGGGTGTGGTACACTCCACGTTCCCCTTCTTTAGGAAGCAGCTCTTCATGCTGCATACCTGCTGCTCCCCAGAACGCTGCCCTTGCTTTGTGTCCCCAGCCTGGCCTGGAGCCTGGAACAAGAACCCATTGTGCACCCCAGGGTGGGCAGCCCCCACGGGTGCTGGGCACTTGGCTTATGGGGCAGCACCCAAGTCAAATGAGCTGAATTCTGGTTGAAAGCAAAGCTCAGCATCAGCATGGAGGTTTTCTGCTCTTTGCCATGGAAACAAGCGTTGCTAAGGGATTGCTTAATAGGGAGTAAAATATTCTAAACCCCCAAGTTTAGGTGGCAGCAGGACTGAACTCCCCAGTCCTGGGGGTGGATGGGGCTGTTGGGGGCTGCCCTTGCTGCAGCTCCCATGTGCAGCCAAAAGCTCTAGCTCTGCATCCATACGGAGAAACCCTTGGCATGGGGCACGGGTGCTGGATGATTTGGGGCGAGCACGGGAATCCTGGCTGCGTCGGCACGGTCCTGGGGTGGCTCCAGCACAGAGCCGGGGCTGTCAAGTCTGCTTCGCTTTCTGCGTGTTATTAAACAGACGCACAAAAGGGTTCCCAAGGGGTAAAGGCACCAGCGCTGCCCCCTCCGCGCAGATGCGATGCCGGGGTCCTGCGCCGTGCCTCAGTTTCCCCTCCCGCATCACCCCAGCAGCACCCGCTGCTCCCCCCTCCAGGGGCAGGGCCGTACCTGGTTAACTTTATTGATCTTATGGCCACGAGTAAAGGGGCCGGGGGGAGGAATAACCCCGGCGGGGGCCGCCTCTGCCCTTGACCCGTCCCGCGCCCCGCGGCAGCTGCTCCGTCGCGCCTCCGCCCGCAGCTCAATGGGGCTTTGTCTGCGCCCGCCGGCCCCGCGCAGCCCCGGCGCCCCCGGGGATATTTATGGGGCGGGCGGGCACCTTCCCCCCGGCCCGGCCCCGCTGCCGCAGCCGGGATTGATGCGCTGCGGAGGTGCCGCTCCGGAGCCCCGAGGGGTGAGGGGGGGATGCGAGCAACGCGCCCCGGCTTCATCTCGGGTTTGGTTTTGGAGCTTGCCGTGGGTGCTTTCTCATCGGAAATAAAGCCCGTCCCAAAGCAAGCAGGGGCTGGGGGGTTCTTGCTTTTCCCGGTTCTTGCTTTTCCCAAGTCTTCCCAAGCAAAGCTGCTCTGCTCCCGAACCACTCTGTTGGGACGGAAGCACAACGCTGATTGATTTCACTGTGATTCTGCTCGCTGTCCAGTTCCTCCTCCATTAAAGCAAGGAAAGCTCCTTTCCAAAGCTCCAGCAAAGATCCATCCTGTGGATGGGAGCAGCAGCAGTATCCCCAGGGCTGGGAGGGATTCAGGGTCTGACCCACTGGGGTCCTTGGGAACATCCCTCAGCATTCCAGGCTCCAGCGCAGATGATTTAAGCAAAAGCGTTTTTTTCAGGAAGGGATTGACCAGGAAAACCTTCACATCTGGGGAAGGAAAAGGGTGGTTTGGTGGTTTCCAGATGCTCCAGCTGCACAAGAACTCGTCAGTTTAATTGGATGCAGTTCCCACATGGATAAGAGTGAGACCCTCTCGGCATTGACCACATGTTGAGTGATGGGGAATTGCCAAGGGTCACGTCATTCCCTGCTTCCTGGGGGAAAGACCAGGCTGGAAAGAATCCAGCAAAGCCCCCACATCCGCGGGACACGCAGGGATCCGGACTGGATCTTTGGGGACCCTAATTCCCCTTGAACGATGTGGAGCTGCTCCATGCACCACCCCCAAAGGCACGTGCTGCCCCGTCCTGCAGCAACTGGAGTTTGGGGCTGTTTCTCTGGACTTTGGGAGGTGCCTCAGGATGAATGAACTGAGCTGCTCCTTTCCCAGCTTTGCCACCATCTTCTCATAAATCCTCTGGTTTGGAGCCCGTCCGGCTCATCCTGGTGCAATGTGGAGCAATCCTGCAGTGCCGATGGGTGGTTTGGTGCTGGTTTGGTGCTTCCTTCTGTTAATCAAGCCGGGAGGTAACAGGCAGGAAGGAGCTGGGGTTGCCAAGAATGTCCACAAACCTCCCTGCATGGAAAATTCCCCCTTAGGGCTGCTTCACCCCAGAGCTGTGGGTACTGCTGTGCTTCAAGCAGAGTTTTCCACGAGGCTTGGGGGAGGTTGGCCCATCCTGACCCCCAGACCCTGAATAGGAAGGAGTAGGAAGGATTCTGGGCAAAGCAGAGCCGTGATTTCCATGTGTGCTGTGCTCCTTTATCACCGATCCAGCAGGGGAACAGCTACAGCCTCAATCTCCCTTGTCCCCATCGCACTGGGGCAGACTGGGGCAACACAGGCATCTCCCAGCACCATTCCCAACCTGGCTGGAGCCAGAGCAGCTTCCAGCCTATTTAAAAGAGGAAACGAATCAGTTTTCCTCCTCTTCCACTGGGTGCAGGTTGGAGGGTGCCATGGAGCATCCTGTGTTTGTGCAGCCTGGAGCTGCCGCTTCCCAAGGCCACAGCACCAGGGCTGGTCCTCACTGTGCTGCAGAGCATCTCCCATCAGCTTCATGGGCAAGTGGCTTCTTCCCTCTCCCATTCCACTTCCCCAGGGCTTGTGGAGGGAAATGCTGCATGACACCAGCCCTGGAGCTCTGGTGGCTGGAGATGAATGTGGAGTGTCACCTCCTGCCACTGCCCTCATCCCCAGCCTGCAGAGCAGATAATGCACCCGGCAAAGAGCGGGCTGAGCAGAGGAGGATGGGGAAGGGAAAATCCTGGGAGGGAACTGCAAACGGATATTTGCTGAAGCTGGAGCACAGGACTCCTTTATGCGAAGGGGTTGTGGTGTTCCCCATACAGGGCAAGAGAAGCAGGGTGCAGATGGGGCTTGGGGGAGATGGTTTCTGGAGATGCTTTGAGCGCCGTAGGTTTAGTCTAATTGGGAAATGAGGGATTAGCTGCAAGAGGAGGGTAGGGGAAGTTGGCTGGGACACAGGCAGACGCTCAAGCAACGGCTGCCACCAAGCCACAAACCTGCTTGAGAAGGGCTGGATGCATTGGGAAGGGCAGCGGGATGGGATCTGAACAAGGCTCCTTGCCAGCCTCATGCTCCCTTCCCTTCAGAAGGGCCGAAGCTGGCAGAGCCCCCCGGGAGCGAGCTGCCGGTGGGCAATGGAGGGTGGTTGTAACAAGCATCATTCCCAGCATGCTGAGCTAGGCATAATTGTTGGAAAACTGCTGCGCACATGCTGAGCTTCATAATTATCAGGCTTGTCTGCCAGGCTGCCCTTCCCCCAGCACAACGGCACACTTGATTATGATTATGGTGGCTAATTTTGTCTGGTGCATCTTGGGCATATGGGCCCCCACCTGCTCTGAATATGCAAACGCTGCTGATTTGCTCCTCGGTGGCCGTGGCCATGGGGAGGGGGAACCTGCCCAGCACCGCGAACAAAGAAACCCCATTGCAGCGGCGCGGGCACAAAGAGCCGCCGGCACCGGCGCTGCCCATGGCAGTGCCCGCGCTCGGAGAGGCCTCCGGGATGGCTTCCCGCGGGTGAGATGGAGCATCCGTGAGCAGCCGAAGCGTGTGGCACGCACATACCCCATGGCATGGACACGCAGCCCGACACAACGAACACCCTACACACAACCCCTTCCATGCAAGCCCCAGCACTTCCCTGCTCCAGCCTGGCTTTACCGCATTGCCGTTGGATGCATCCGCATCCCACAGCCTTGCAGAGCATTCCCTGCCCATCCATAACACATTGTTTTGTGAGGTGTGGGAGCGGGGTTTTGCTCCTGTGTCAGGAATGCTCATAAAAGCATCGGTGTGAGGGTGAAGGGCAGCTGATGGGGGGCTCACGTCTGCCTGGAAGGGCCCGCTGTCAGGGGGGCTTTGCCATGCTAATGGATAATTAGATAGGCAGACAGACTGACAAGGATCCAGATGGATGGATAGATGCCACGAGGATCTGGTGACAGATAAATAGGCAGCTGCTAATGGGCAGCGCAAACAACAGCTTAGACTCCTGCTAATTCCCACTGTAATTTTTAAGCTCTCTCCGTCCTTCCCCCCCTTTTCCCCACTCTCTCCCCCAGTGCAGAGCTCTCACCAGCGCACCCATCACTTCTAGTTTCATCATTTCACTTCGCACAGAAGGGGCAGGAATGGCTTGTGGGGGATCAGGAATAACGAGTCGCAGTGAGCCGGGGTGGGCGTCGTGCAAGGGCTCGGGGAGGTGAAACCCATGGGGCTTATCTGGGACTCTTGGGGTGCCTCCATCCCTCCTTCCTCCCGGCGCTGAGTTCTGCATTTCCCAATTAAAACAAGGAAAAGGTTTTCCCTTTTCTCCCACAGCGGAGATGGGAAGAAAGCTGCGGAAGGGAGGGAGGTGGATTAGGGCTGGAGAGCCGGGGCCGGCCGGGCGGCAGAGACAAAAGAAGCATCCTCGCTTGTTTTCCCTTGCCGCGGGGGATCCACGTGGCGGTGCAGGAAGGCAGGAAAAGCGGGAAGGGGAGAGAAACCCTGCTGGAAGCTTTGGGCAGCACCCGCACCGAAAGAGGGAGATTTACAGCCCCACTGCCTGCTATGGGGGCTGCTGCCTGCCCCGCCAGGCCGGGTCCCCTGCCGACTGAGACATTTGGGGATGCTCGTGTGGCTGTAGACCTTTGGGTCTTGCCAGTTCGGCAGGGACATCACTGCCTCCATTGCCACCTCCTTGGTCTGGCCTCTGGTGTGAGCCACACGGAGCCTTGAGCATCCTCCCACGGGTACCGGCTCTGCAGCCAGCACACTTTGCCTCCTGCCCCGCTGCCAGGGCTCCCCCCTTTCTTATCTGCCCATCTCCTGCTTTATCATCACTCCCTGATGTGTCTGTCAGCCCATCAGCCCCTCCGTTATCTGTCCCCGCTTCCACTCTGCCCCTTTCCCTTCCACGGTTTTCATGGTTTCTGTTATATTTCTCCCTCTCCCTCGTTCCTTTCCTCCCCTGCTCTATAGATTTCCCCCCTCTTCCTCACCCTCTCTCTTGTCCTGCCCCTTTTCCCCCTCTCCAGGCTACTTCCTCTCCCCTCTGCCATCCCAGAAGGGGTCGGCAGGACCATGGCAGTGGGGACGAGTGCTCCAGCATCCCCAGGAAGCTGGGTCCCCGCCTGCCAGCACAGACTGGGCTCGGAAATACAGCCCAGGAGATGCCAGCAGCATCTCAGGAGGGAGCCAGAGCCTGCTCCGGGATGAGGCAGAGCTGGGAACTGGTCCCCAGTGTATATAGATCCATACATGGGTATATATAGGCACACACCCCATAGATGTCTGTATATCTAGAACCTTGGCCCTTTCCTGGTTTCAGACGGCAGCAGCTTGCTGGTACAATTAGAGTTTTTACCAGGACTGACCCCGTTGCAAACATTCCATGGTTTAAAGAAGCCAATTCCAATTCTCAGCAACTTGCTCACAAAGCGCCTGGGGGCTTTTCTGATGAGCTCCTGCAGCTATTCCCAATTTCCTTCTTTCGCTTTATGAGCTAAGTGGGGAAAAAGAGACCGAGTTTCCTTATAAATATAAATGGATGCATAAAAACTATTCCAGGGATATATTTTTTTTCCCTGCGCAAATCCCCCTTTCCAGGAGTTTTCTGCTCTCTGCTCAGTGCACCGAGACCCAGCACTTTTGGGTTGGGGTGACTGGGTGGGTACATGTGAGAAATGTGGGAACAGCAAAAGCTTTAATTCCCAGTGTAAAAAAATTCCTTTCCTGGGAACATGGGAAGTTCCTTCGATTCTTGATTCTTTTCCTTCTCCTGACAAAATACCCCCAAAGCAGCTTCACCCATGCCCATGCAGCCGAGGGCAGCACCTGGGGGACACAAATCCCCTGTAGCCCATAGCAACAAGGAAAGACAATATTGGGAATATAAGGATCAGGGAAGCTTCAACCCAAGCCAGCTTTGGAGGAATTCCTTGGGGATCGATGCCTTGTTGCGGCCATCACCCACCAAAACCCCACTTCTCCTTTGAGGTGGTTGCCCTCATCCCTCTGCGAGTGCCTGGCTTTTGGGGCGATCAATGGGCACAGGGGGGCAAAGCCGGGGCCGTTGGCATCCCCAGGATGGATGGAACCCGGCGTGGGAAAGCGGGTGGCAATGGCATTACCAAGCCAGGAGTTTCATTAGGATGCAGGAGCGGTGCTTTGGGTGCAGAAAGCGGAGGGGGAAGGGTTAAGGGGCGGTGGAGACTGGGGTGAGAAGAAAGCCTGAAGAAAAGAAGGGACCTCGATGGCTTCATTACCATATTCAAATCTAATTAATTCCCCTTTGCATAAAAAGGCCACGGCGGGCGTGGGACCGGCCTTGCAGATGGCGTCTCATGCTCAGCACCATTTTGGGGCCGCCGGCCATCTTAGAGTGAGGAGGAGGAGGAGGAGGAGGAGGAGGACAGTGGCTTCACCTGTGGCGCTGAGCATCTGCTCAGGGCACCCATCGGGATGTGCCGGGTGCCAGCACCACCAAGCGCCATTGACCATCATTCGTTTCGCTTTGAGGAAGAAGAGGCTATTTAGAAGAAGGAATGAAGCAAGAATGGATGGGGAAAGGCAGTTCAAAGCTATGGGGTGACATGATTTGGGGGTAGTAGTGGGCCTCGCCCTTGGTTAGGGGTCCCTACTCCATCCCTGCGTCCTGGGGTCTCCAGATGGGATGGTGCCGGTCTCTGTGTGGAGGGAGATCGATGGTTGATGGGATCAGTGTTGCCAGAGGTACTCGCTGGAGAGAGCTGCAGATGGGGAGCGAGGTGCAGTGGTGGTGCCCTAAAAAGCATCACTGATATGGCCCAGTGCCTATCCCAGAGATGGGAGCATCCCAGACCCATCTCTGGAAGGTGATCCCACAGGAATGCACCCCGCATTCCCTATGGGGTGCCAGCCAGCAGCCAAAACAGCAAGAAAATCCAGCCTCAACAAGCAGATACCCAAACCCCTCCTGCACAGGTATTTGGGTGGGGAATGGGGATTATATCCCTCATCTCCCCCTCCTGCATCTGGGGGTGAACCAAACCCCTGATGGAAAACTACCCCTAAGCGTGAGGGCTGCTGCTGGGCATCACCCAGGCCAGGCTCACCCTGGGAGAGGTGGAAGGGATTTTTCCTGATGTTTCAGGCATTCCCAGGGGGAAACTTGGAGGAGGGAGGACCCGCAGGGGACGTGGGCTTCCTCCCTTCACTGACACCCAGGGATGTGATGCTGCTGTGGCTACGGGGCTGGGGTGAAGCCATCACCCCAAAACAGGCTCCTACAAGGAGCAGGAAGGTGCCTGTGCAGCTAAATCCAGTGTCTGGCAGTGGAAAAACTGGGGTTTGGATGGGCAGAGCAGGAGGATTGGGGTGGGGGGGAACGGCTGGGGGCAAAGTGAGAGGTGAGGGGGGAACCTTCCCCCTCAGAAATAGGAAAGGATAGTTTTGAGTCACAGAGGAAAGGTTTAAAAGGGAAAATAGGGGAGAAAAGTCAATTATGGGGATAAAATCTTGAGGTTTTCTCCCCCATAGCAGTGCGAGGTGGCACCTCACAGCCTGGCAGCCAGCTGCATGCAGAGCCATGGTGGGTGCCCTGCTCCATAGCCTCCCCAAATCCCGGGATGGAGAGAACCTGGGGGGAGGTTTTGCAGGGAAAAGCCAGGAAAGGAAAGCAAGAAAAGCCCAAACTTACCCCATAGAGGAGAGGTGAAGCGGTGCCGAGCATCCTCGGGGCAACGGAGCTCACTTCCCTTGCCTGGTTCCACAGGCGCCGTGCTTGCTGGGCAGGGATGTGTGAAACCAGCCCATCTCCACCAGTCACGTACGTCTTTGCCGCTGCAAACGGGTGCTGCGAGCAGCATTAGCCTGGCTTGGTGGCTCCCAGAGGCAGGGGAGCCCAGTCAGTGGCACCCCTTTGATGGTGAGGGTGAGGGTGCTGCAGGGCTTGGCCCACGCTGGCCTGGCTGCTCCCCATCCCTGTTCCCAGTGAGGGATGCCGCTGGACCACAGAGGTCAAAGCAACACAGGGATTTCTCCTCTGCAAGAGAATCAAACGGGCATTTGTCACCTTCAAAGACACAGTGCTCACCTCCAAACCCATCCTGCCCTGCCCATCGCTGAGCCGCCCTCCCCAGCCCGTGTGGCCAAGGTGATGCTTTCAAGGTTTCTCCTGGCACAGAGGACCTCAAGGTTTCCACACCCGCATCTATGTACAAACCCCGCAAGCCCAGTGGCCACTGCTGGGCTCTGGGTACTGTCACGGGTCCCTGCTTAGGGACAGGTTTCTGTTTGATCTCTCCATTAGGGTCTAGAGAGAGGTTTGAGCAGCTCCATCACCCCTTGGGTTGCACCCTGGACTGCATCCCACATCCACTTTTGCAGACAGGATGGCACTGAGAGAGGAACCGAACCCTCCTGGGAGCCAGTGGGGAGGAAAACCCCTCCGTGTTGAGTGATGGAGCAAAGCCCCTCCAGGTGAGCCCTTGGCCATCACCTCCATCCCCATCCCCTGCTGCTGCTGCAGGATGCTTTGATCTGCCCCAGATCAGCCTTTTTATCACCCAAAACCACGGCGTGGGGAAGTGAGGACTTCAGCCCTTGCTGGCCCCAGCACCCATGTCCACAGCCCTGCCTGGGGGGGGGGGCTTTTGCTCCCATTCACTTTGCTCCCAAAAACTCAGCCCCTCCAGCCCCATCGCACTCCCAAGGGTGTCCGATGGCGAGAGGGGACTGGACACAGGGTGGGTTGACAGCACTGCCCCAGACAGCAGCAGGAGCTGGGGGGGGCACACAGCAAGGGGACACACCGAGGGGATGGGGGGCTCAGACACAATGCTGCCATTGAGGGGGCCGCGCTGGGGGTCCCGGCCCTTCCTGCCCAGACACAATAGGGGTGGCCCCACGCACCACTTGTGTGCATTGTGCGGCGGCCACCCCCCCCCCAGCCCCTCCTTTCTGTCCCCCATCGGATAATGGATCCGCTTTGTGTGCTTGGCTGGACAAGGACTTTGTGGCGCAGAAAGAGCTGGTGTTTGTCTGTCAGAAGAGATCGACCAAGAAAGGGACGGGGAGGAGCGGTGGCTGGAGCGGGGCAGTGGCCCTCGCGCAGCATTGGCCTTGCACGGCCCCTGTGCTGCCGGCGCTCTTCCCAAGGGGAAAAATGTCCTTGCTGGGAAGCCAGGGTGGTGCAGCTCGGTGACCATGGGGCTGCCGGACCTGTCGCTCCAACCCCATCCCTGGTCCTGGCAAGCATCCTGGGGAGCATCTCCGTGAGCATCCTGCTGAACACCGCCTCCCCAAACCCAACACAAATCCAGGGTGGCAGAGGGTCCGTGTCCTGGCTCTGGGCCCTACAGCCCCTCTGCATCCCCCCCCCACACCAGTCCTGGGGATGGGATCAGCAAAACCTACAGGAGATTAATTCTCCTGCTGCCTCAATCCTGCTGTACCGGCGTGCGGGAAGGCGAGTGGGATAATCCCTGACTTCAGCGTAGCCAGAGCCACAAAGACCAGGATTAATAAGAGCTAGGCTTTAATTTTGGCAGCCCTGAACAGGTGCCTTTTCCTGTGGCATCCCCGATTCCAGCACATTGGACAACCAAGGGACACTGGAGCTCTGCAGACAACGGCCACATCCTAGCAGCTCTGGGAAGGGAAAAGCAGCCCTGGCACCAGCCCTGGCACTGGCCCAACCAAGCAGCCAGCATTGTGTGTGCCCACAGCTACATGCTAACAACACGCCTGTGCCACGTGGCACAAGGTCCCTCCGGTGGCAGCAAACCTTGAGCAAAGCAGGGCTGAAATCTGGGATTCTTTCCCATTAAACCAAGCCGGGAATCTCTTCCCTTTATTCTCTAGGCTGGGGCAGGTTCATCCCACTCGTGCTTCATCAGCGCGGTGGCAGTGTCATTGCGAGTCCAGGCTCAGCATCCGGCACTCCCACCCCACACATGGGTGGCATTTGGAGGTGACAACAGCCATGAGGCTGGAGGTGGCATCTCAGCAGCACATCTCCTTCCCCAGTTGATTTTGCTGCAGGTGTTTGGAGGCTGGGTGCCCACATAAGATGACTATCTCCATCAGCATCACCCCAGGGGACCCCGAACCCGCATCTTGGGTGCTGTGGGGCTGAGCCAGGCAGCTCAGCGCCCGTGGGGGGAGCGGACGGGATGATTAGGGTGGCCTGTGGAGTAATTATCTCATTGGGAACTAATACCCTTTCAACGGGAGCGGGGTGGGGAAGTATTGTTCGGGCTTAGGGATTACATCAACCCGCTGGAGCAGACAATGTGCTCCCCCTGGGAAGAGGCAGCTCAGCCCCAGGGGGAGAGGAGGGAGGCAGGGGCTGAAGCTGTCTCAATTAGGGAGTGTCCCAGCAGAGAAACAGGGTGGTGGGGGCTCATGGGGGGGACAAGAGGAGTTTAGTGGGGAAGGGAAGCATCCTTAACCCTTTGTGCTCCTCCGGCGAGGGGGCTCGGTCCTTCGGCCCTGTGTCAGCCAGGGACAGTTGATGCCAGCAGGGCTGGCTGTGTCCCCAGCTCCCCATGTGCTGGGCAAAGCAAAGCACAGCCATTCTTCTCCTTTTCCTGACTTTTTCTTTGTAATCTTTGTGCCAGCCCCTTCTACACAGCAGCACCACATTGGCCACTTCATCCTTGCACTGGGGACCGGGAGCCAGGGCCAGCGGAGGGGCTGTGAGTGGGACACGTCCCTGTCCCCAACGCCAACCAGCAGTGCTGGGAGAGGAGCGATGCCAACCCCCTGCACCTAACCCCAGCGACGGGCAGCACCGGGACACAGCAGGTCCTTGGCATCTCCTTGAAGCACCAGCTCCAGCCCTGAGCCCACCCTGGGGTTGGGGTTCATGGTCAATCAGGCATGAGGCCGTTGGGCTGGTGGCAGCCACCGCGCCAGGTTACGGCTGGAGCAAGGGGCTGTCTCCACCTGGCCCTGGCTGCCCATGGGGTGATGGAACACGGGGCTCCCAGCTGCCATACATTTTTAAATAAATGAATAATACATCGCGGGCTGATAAATAAATAACGGGCACACATTTGAACTTAGCCTCTGAGAAAATCCTTTTAGTTCAAAAGGACCGGGGCGCTTGGAAAGGGGAGCCCATGCATTTTGAATGGGCTGCCATCAAGTGTCAGGGCTTGGCAAGGGAGACGAGGAGGGGGAGGGATAAAACCGGCCTTGACACAAGCAAAGGGGAAGAATGAGGACAAGGGTTCTTGGGCATCAGCGAGTGTGGCTTTGGGAGGAGCAGGCAGCGATGGCACCGAGGGCTGCGGCACCCCGAGAGCCTGGAATCCCTGTGGAAGGGGCAGGATGAGGATGGAGGGTGCTGTGGCAGGAGAAGGGCGAGCAGCACATGAAACGTCCAGTCCCACCAACCCCAACTGTGCCAAGGAGGAGCCCCCGTTTAGCAGAGCAAAGGCAGCGTTTACTTAGCAGTGGCCCTATAAAGAGGTGGGTGGCCCTGGAAGGCAGCCCAGACAAATACAAGGGGATTAGACAAGTGAAAGGTGTGAGCAGAGGGGTGAAGGGGAGGAGGATGCTCAGGGAAAGACGTTAGCGGGGGCCGAGCAAGCAGGGAGAGGGCAGCCAGGCAGAGGCTGGATGGGGGAACCTTATTGTCACCTTCTGGGGGGGGGAATCCAAACACATCCCATGTCGGAGGAGTTGAGGGGGCAGGAATTGGCTCTGAGGCTGCCCAAGACCCTGCATGAGGCAGCTGAGAGCGCATGCCTGCCCTAACATCTATCCCTGCCACACCTGCCATGCACATGTGTGTTCTGGTCATGCTCATGCACGTCCCAGCCATGCTCTGCCATGTGTACGCCCATCCTGGCCATGCACAACCACGCACATGCATGCCTGGGCCATGCACAGCGGTGACACACACATGTCCCAGCCACGTACATGCATGTTCCAACCATGCCCACAAGTGTCCTGGCCGTGCACACACATCCCAGGACAGGATCCTGCTGGAACTCACTCCCTCGGCCTTCGTGAAGCCCAAGATCCATGGAGGCAACTTGAGTCCCTTGCGCACACTGCATCGCTAAAGTGGGTATTGATTTATTAGGCTGTAATTTAAGGCAGAACGCTTTAAACTGAACCCACACACCAAGCTCAGGCACGAGAACAAACAAGACCTGATTTATTTGCTGCCCGTCTCTGGCAGATGCGTGGTTGGGTCGAGGGGGGACAGGGAACTGCTGCATGGCATCCTGGCATGGGAAGGAGGAGAGGAGCATCCCCATCACCTCCTGTATATCCCTTTGTAAGCATCCTGCACCCCACAGCAGCCTCACGCAATGTCCTCCCAGCACTGGGGGTGCAGGGGACAGGGTTGGTGGCAGCGAGAGCAGAGGCAGAGCTGCCTGGACCCAGGTTTGTTACACAGGAGAGCCGGGCCAGCACTGGGACAGGCAGGAGGGCATCACCCATTCCCTGCACCAGCGGCTGCTGGGACATGTGCTGGGATCAGCATGACCCCAGCAGCAGCACCGGGGCACTGGGATCACTCTGGAAAGCGCAGGCTGGAGGGGGGGTGTTGAACCCACACTTGAACGTGGCGCCAGCACAGACCCACAGCTCCATCCTCCCGACAAGCAGCCGCAAGCCCAGACCTCCGCTGACATCAATCAGCCACGCTCCCATGGATGCACAGCGCCGGCATGGGGGGGTTATTCCACTCCCCCCCCCCAGCTCAACATCCCCCATCCTCCTGCACCAGCTGAGTCCCGGGGGTCCAACCCCCGCCAGGTCCCATCTGCAGGACCCAGCCACCGCGGTGCATTCCTGTGTGCCCGCCCCGGCGCAGCAGCTGCCGGCCCGAGCCCATCACCGCCGCCATGGCTCGTCCTGACCTTGCGGTCAGGTGTTGGGAATGGGGGGGGATAAACACCACCACCCCCCCCCCCCAACCAACCCCCGGTGCCAGCAGCCGCCGTCGGGGCACAGGGAGGGTTTAATGCAGCGGGGACCATAATGGGGCCGGGCGGGGGAGTGAGGGCGAGGAGAAATTAG